AATTTTTTTTATTTTTTCAATTAGGAAAAAAGAAAAAGTTTATTTTTTTTTTTTTTTTTTTTTTTTTTTTTAACAAATACTCTGCTCCAGCTAATCGAATCCTTCCATCCATCCTGTAGTTCCATCAATACTATTAGTTGTAACCTTCATCCATCCATGTATCCATCCTCCCTCCCTCGTTCCCTCAAACATTCACTGACAGTTTTGTAACATCATCTTGAGGAACTGTGTAGGACTGGTTCTGTTAACCCGTTGTGGGTTGAGGCTGCTGTATCGTGGCGTTTGCAGCCACACCCTGCTCTCCAGTCCTCCCCTCTTAAAATGGATGGTTTTCTAGAAGCTGCTCCTGGCTGCAGCGCGATGCATTCCTCAGCACTGAAGCTTCGACTCAAGAGGACGGCTCCTGTGTCTCTGCCTCGTTGTTTTTTCTCTCCTCCTCTCTTCCTCCCTGCCTTGTGTGTGTGTGTGTGTGTGTGTGTGTGTGTCCGTGTGTCGTTTCCTGGCACGGCCCAAGTGAAGGATGCTCGTGGGGATTTGCTTTGTTTTCTGTAGCAGAAACTATATCGGTTATCGAATTCTCTACTCACCATTCAATCCCTTTTCTCTCCCCTTAGCTGGATATAGATTACTGCTCACCCAACCCTTGCCAGAACGGAGCGCCCTGCTACAACCGGGCCACAGACTACTTCTGCGCGTGCCCAGAGGACTACGAGGGCAAGAACTGCTCCCACCTTAAAGACCACTGTCGCACCACCACGTGTAAAGGTATATCTCTCGCTTTCAGCGACCACAGGCTTTTTCCAGAAAGCTGCTGAAAGATGATCTGTGCGCCGTGCAGTAGTGAAACACTTCACCCACATTTTTCCCACAAGAGCAATACTTGCTTAGTTTTCATACAATGAAGTTTCTTGGCGGAGTCGAGCAGATTTGATGCTCTCTCCTCTAAGCTAAGCCGTTCCCAATGAGCCCAAACGTGCAGAAATTTCCTGAAGATCTGGCAGAAGCCCGATAGCACCGTGTGTGTTCTCAGTAATGACTTGGTGGGCTACCTCTTCTTTTCCCCTTCAATGAGTGCGCACAGTCTTCAGTGCCTGCTCATGCAATTGAGTGAGTGGACCAACCACAGAGGCAGATACCAGACAGTGGGATTCTCCGCGCACTTGGCACAAATTAAGCGATTTACAGGGAAGCAAATTCACCTCATGCGCCTAACCTGATCAGACATGGGGAAAGGAGGGGATTTTAGCGTGGTGGAAAAAAAAAAAAAAAAAAAACAGTCACTCTAAATTGCTTATGAAAACATGACCGCTTATCGCTGTTTGTCCCATCAACGCCCCACCGTGACCTTCTCCCCCACTGCTGCAGAGCCGAGCAGAGGCTTCCACTTTTTCACCTTTTGTCACATTGCAAACAACTTAACTGAGTGCAGTTTACTCAGATTTCATGAAATAGACTGAGACAAAAGTAGAATATGAAAAGTGTGGCGTGCATATGTATTAAACCCCTCTACTCTAATACGTAAACTCAAGTGCAACGGTATAAATGCAACACAACTGCAAACTTATTAAAGATAACTAAAAGAACAGAAAGAGAGAGTCATGGTGGCACTGGAGGAGCTGCAGAGACACAGCTCAGGTGCAAAACTTATTACTAGTACGCTTCACAAATCTGGCCTTTTAGGAGTGAGAAAGAAACTCTGAGGTTCAGACCACATGTGGAACAAGGATATCTGGTTGGATTAACTTTTTGGGCTGGTGGTAGCATCATGCTGAGGGGATACTCTAAGAACTGTTGAGAGGATGGATGGAGATAAAGATCGGACTAAGAAGAAAATCTGGCAGATAAGGGATGTCCAAATGTGGCCCCTGACCGCAGATTTAAAGTAAAAAAAATAAATAAATAAGAAATGTTGGCGCTGATACAGATGGTTGCTTTTTGTTTTTGAAAATTAGATTTTTGTTGGCAGATTTATGGAACATTCTTGTTCCTGGGAACAGACTATAAAGATCTTCTATATCAAGAAAATTAAATAAAAATGAGGGAACTTCACACTTTTTCATTCTCTCTCAAATATGTTGTTTTCTACTTTTTCATTCAAATATTTCACGTTTATTGTATTGCTCTGCCTGTTTAAAAGAAAAGAATTCACAATTGAATTATTTGATATTTTAATTGGGGGACAAATCCACAAGTATTATCACCTTTTTATTTCTGGTCAGAACTTGTTCCATTAATGTCTGCGGCGTCTTTTTGCAGTGATTGACAGCTGTACCGTCGCCGTGGCATCTAACAGCACGCCAGGAGGAGAGCGCTACATTTCGTCAAATGTGTGTGGACCTCACGGTCGCTGCCGGAGCCAAGCGGGGGGTCAGTTCAGCTGCGAGTGCCAGGAGGGCTTCAGAGGGACCTACTGCCACGAGAGTACGGCCGAATTTACCGTCACCATGGCAGCGCGTCACGTTTGCTCCGCACTGTCGCGGCCGATCTCACCAAGTCTCTCTCATTCTCTAGACATAAACGACTGCGAGAGCAACCCGTGTCGCAACGGAGGCACGTGCATCGACAAAGTCAGCGTCTACCAGTGCATCTGCGCCGACGGCTGGGAGGGCGACCACTGCGAGATCAGTGAGTCACGCCGCCGCCTCATCCTTTCCTCATGTCGCTGCTCAAACCGTCTCAACAGAAAAATGTGTCTTCCATCGCCCGTTTGATATGCCGCCCTCAAATCACACACACCCATCTAATATTTCCAGACATAGATGACTGCAGCACCAACCCCTGTCATAATGGAGGGACATGTCGAGACCTGGTGTCTGATTTCTTCTGCGAGTGCAAAAATGGCTGGAAGGGGAAAACCTGCCACTCACGTAAGAGCCTCCCCCATTTTTTTTTTATTTTATTTTCCACACCCGTGTTGTCTGTCCGTGCAGGCTCATGGTATGTGCTCATGGCTGTACTCGATTATCTATTACCTTACAAACCCTGAGATTTTTCACACATACCTTGCAGGTGAAAGCCAGTGCGATGAAGCTACGTGCAACAATGGGGGCACCTGCCATGATGAGGGTGACACATTCCAGTGCAAGTGTTCCCCAGGCTGGGAGGGCACGACCTGCAACATAGGTGAGCAGCAGGCGCTGCAGCTCGGGGTTAATCCTCCACATTTAAGGGGAACTTCTCAGATTTTATCTGGATTTTTGATGCCGCCAATAAAATCCATTGTAATAAATTTCTACTACAATATTGTAGAGTCCAGATGTGTGCAATTTAATCTCAGTATGATTTAGGGCCAGGCGATGTGGTTTAAAAATAAAAGCTCAGATTTTTTTCCTTTTCTTTATTTTTTTATTAATCCTAAATTTGATTTCAGACTTTAATCAAAATTTTCCTCACTTTTTTTTTC